TGGCTGTGGAGCCAACAAAAGAGGTAGCGCTGTCATCCGAGGCGAGAGAGGGAGCCGGAGAGAGCCGAGGAAAAGAGAGGGAGGGAGTGAGGGAGCAAGGGCCCAGAAAGAGATGAAGAGACAGAGATAGGAGGGGGAGGGGGGTGGAGAGAGAAAGTCAATGTCGGAGAGACAGAGATAAAGAGACAGAGATAAAGAGACAGACTCAGAGACACCGAGATAGGAAGAGGATGAGAAGGAAAGAGGGAGAGACAAAGGGAAAAGGAAGGGAGGTAGGGGGAGGCACGAAGGGGAGAGACTTAGCTAGAGAGACAGAGATCGCATGTCTTTGAGGAGACTCAGAGGAAACTGATCTGGACTACTAGTGGGAGAGTTGGAGTGGTAGGTCAGAGACATGGATAGGCGTGAGTTTAGAGGTTGCCTTGCGGGTGAGGGGGAAGGGGCATGGAGCTGGGAAGAGGGACAGTACCCTGGGAAAGGAGGGAGGGAGAGGAATTGTGTGGGGAGGGGTGCAGGGGCAGAATCAAACACCACGGGAGCCCCTGAGGAAACAGATGCTGAGGATGGGTTCAGTCTAAGACTTCAGAGAGAGAGAGAGAGAGAGACAAGAGCTGGAAGAGCTAGTCTGGGCAGGAGTATCCAGAGTCCAAGGGTAGCTCAAGGGAGGGGAGCTTGAGCAAGGGCCCAGCCACGGGACCTAGCCCGAAGACAGTGTTTTAGACTAGCCCATAGATGGTTTGAAGAGGCCACTGAGTGAGGCAGGATCAGGCTGGAGTCATCAGAGGAATGGAGACCAAGAGGAAGAGGCAGGAACGGTCTGAGCAGGTGGGAAGGTGATGGGAAAAGAGACAGGAGCGAGACTCAGGGAAGACTGAGCTTGTCGTGACCTCAGCAAGGCTAAGGGAGTGAGCAGGCCAGTAAAGGCCATAGCCAGGGACCATGGGCCAGGGGCTGGTAGCTACTAGGTTTGGAGAGGAGTCTGGACCTCTGTACTCTGTCCCCATCCCCCTGAATCTGCAGGGTCTTAGAAGTCTAAGAAGGAGCTTGACGTTGCAGGGATGAGAATGGGAGAGAGGTCTGCCCTTGGATGCCTAAACTGGAGACTACAAGTTGCAAGAGGCTGGCCCCACCCCTACGTGTGGGACCTGCCCTAGACCTCACGGGTGACACTGGGCAGAGTCAATGGGCAGAGTGATAAAACGCTTTGAAGGTGCTTAATTTCTGATTCTGGGCTCCTCTTTACAGGCCTCAATTTCTCCAGACTTTTTTCTTGACCCTAAAACTCTGTTGATCAATAGACAAACTGAAGATGTTTGAGGGGATCAGATCTTGCTCATTTCTTTGCACATATTATACTCATCGAATAAACAGATAAACTTTATTAGGTTTCTTAGGCAGAAAAAAGGGATGTTATTTTCCTCTCTGAAATTAGAGCCCAGTGACGTTATCTTAAAGTTGGCTTGGCAGAGGCGTCAGGAGCACTCGGTGTAAGGGCACTGTTGGTATGGGAAGCTGAAGTGCAATAAGGGAAGGTCTGGGAGTCCAGGTATACAGGGAGAAGATTGAGGAGGGGTTGGGGACCAGCAGGTGGCATGGTGGTTAAGGCGCTGGACATTCCCACATGGCCAACCATGGTTCAAGTCCTGGATCTGATGGCTTGCTTTCTCACTTTCTTTCTCTATGTCTTTCTCTGGTTAAAATAAAATAAGTAAATGAATGAATAAAATTAAAAATAAACAATTTTTTAAAATGAGGACTGAAACTATTCATTAAAAAAAAAAAAGAATGAATAGGGACCAGCAGTTAGCGTAATGGCTATGTTGCTGGACTCCCACGTAGTCGACTGCGGTATTATAAATAAATAAACTTAAATAAATCTTTAAACAAGAGAAAGATTGAGGAGGGGTTAGAAAGATCAAGCTGAGAGGCCGGCAAGTGGCATGGTGGATAAGGGCGCTGGATTCCCACATGGCCAACCATGGTTTGAGTCTCAGACCTTGGCTTGCTTTCTCACTTTCCCTCTTTCATTCTCTCTCTCTGTGTGTCTTTCTGATCAAATTAAAAAATAAATAAATAAATAAATAAAATTAAATAAATAATTCTTTAAAAAAAAAAGAAAGATCAAGCTGAGGAACTTTTTTATTGTTATTATTATGATTGCTTTTTTATTTATTTTTTTGAGAGGTTTTTAGGGCATGTGATGTGCGCTCACCAGACAGACAGAGAAAGACAGAGAGACAGAAAGCGAGAAATCACCCACCAGGGGGAATGGCCATGCTGCAATCCCTTCTCCTCTATTGTCCTCTCTGGATCTTGGGCACGCACGCACACACGCCCGGCGTGAGTTTAAGCCTCCGGGTCCAGGATTTGAACCGTGGTCGACTACGTGGGAGTCCAATGACATAGCCATTACGCTAACTGCTGGTCCCTATTATGATTGTTTTTAATTCACCGGAAAGAGAGGGAAAGTGAGAAAGCAAACTGCCAGGTCCAGGACTGGACATAGTCAGCCATGTGGGGAGTCCAGTGCCCTTAACCACCCTGTCACCTACTGGCCCCATGTATGCCCAAAATCTTGAAAGGAGAAATGGAGAAAGGGTTGTGACTTGGCCATCCCCTCTGGGAGGTACTTTCTCACTCCCCTCTTTCTCTGTCTCTCTCTAGTGCCAGCATTCACATTTTGGCAAAATCAGAAAAAAATAAAATAAAATAAAAGGGAGTCCGGCCAGCAGGTGGCGTGGTGGTTAAGGTACTGGACTCCCACATGGCCCGCCGCACTTCTCCAGGACCTGGCAGCTTGCTTTCTCACGTTTTTACTCTCTCTCTTTCTCTCTCTATCCCCCTGACTGCCTATCTCTCTCTAGTGAGTACACAGCCCCTATAGCAAATTTAAAATAAAAATGAAATAAATAATTCTAAAAAAAATAAAACAGGGCTCACCATACCTGCCCTCATTTGGTTGTGAGGATGCATCAATCTGGTATATCTTATTCTCAAAAATGTTTTTCTGATGTCATTTCCTCAGCAAAACTAAAAATCCCGGGAAAGTACAGGTGGTTTTTCATTCTTTTTTTTTTTTGGGGGGGGGGGGGGGAAGGTTTTTTGTCGTTGCGACC